GGATGCTTATGATTTGGGGAGTAAAGCTGAAAGTCTTATTTCAGCCTTTAGAGCAATCTTCAAACAGAAGAGAAACAAATTGAATCCACCTCACACCTCTGATCACAAATGCCTAATACCTTTGTGAAAAGAGCAGAATGCATCCGTTCAGTTTCCAAATGATGAATATAAACATTGTCTATGGGCACTTTTGGTGGTAGATGCAAAAAATGTAGCAGGTTTTAGAAATTATTGTTGCTTCTACCATCACTGTTTCCTTCAAGACAAATTGGAAGTAGATTGCAGAGATACTTCTGCTATTCCTATATCTGGTCCACACATGCATGAAGCACTAGTACTTCTCATCATAGCATAACACTTAAGAGTAAGTTGGATTTAAAAGTAAAAGCTGTAGGTATCCATAGGTTTTGAAAGATATTGTTGTAAATAGTGTTGCAAATAGTCCACAGAAGCTACTTTTGGTTTATGAAGCCCTTGAGTGTCAAGTGGTTGGAGCTGGGATGTATTTCTGAGAGGCATCACATAGGCTTCACCTGACACACTCAGTTCCAGGTGTCTGGTTTTGGCTCCACTCAAAGACTGGCCCAATATAGATGATTTTTGGTTTCAATGTTCTTGTATACATTCAAGAACCTGACATGATACTGAAACATGAATGAAATTATAAAGGCTATCTCAAGGAATCAAGTAAGGATTACTAGACCAAAATTGCCAATATCTTTGAAAAGCAGAGATCGTCACTTACGGAAAATACAGGTCTGACATAAATACTTTATCTAAAATATACCATGAACTCATGGACAGTTAATAAAATTGCAAGCTTTCTTTCTTAGAGATAGAAAATAATATTACAATAAATATCAACATGGATGAGAAACTTTTTGCAAATCTGGTAAGCATATATTGCATGGCAGAAGACAAAGACTATCTGCTAAGTAAACCTGTTCATGTTTAAATTTAACTTCTAGCTTAAAGAATCAGAGCAGAATCAGATATTTATTTAGCGGTGGTATGGATTGCATGAGTAAAATATGTTCACAAGTGACATCTTGGAAATACACTTACATGAATTAAAATTTAATATATTATAGAGATCAAAGTCTTTTGCACTTTAACAGCTTGATCCAACCCCTTATGAAGAGAAAAGAAATATTCCCATTCACTTGTGTGAGTGCTGGACCAGATTGATACAGAGAAAATAACAGCCCATATGTTTCTGATTCCACTGTTCTTTTAGTGGTGAAGAACAGACAGTTCTTTGACTAAGGAAGTCCTAGGATTCTCAAAAGAGAGCAATCCCTGATTTACTCCATTCTGGGGGGAGAGTCTGACCCACCCTTGAGTGTATGCCTTTTTAACTTCTTAACACGTGGCAGTAAGTAAATCCTGCAGAAAAGCTGCTGAACTTGCACATGCAGTAACTTCTAAAGTAAACTCCATGGCTGCCAAAAAGTGTATAAGAAGTCAGAAAGAGCTTACAATATGGCAGGTGTTACAGTGCAATAAGGGCATGTCTTAGGTACATTATAAAACACAGACTGAAGTGGTTCCAGGATCTGAGAGTTATTACAATACAGACTGTGAGGTTGCTATTTAGATTAAATTCCTCCTACCATGTCTTCAAATCACTTTTTCTACCCTTATTTGCTCCATTCACCACATTTAGATGCCACCATCTTGGATTTCCTTCTCTGAAAAGGAAATCCCCACTTCTCAGCACGAAACTTGAAAAGCTTTTAGTCTTAGAAGGAGCTGCTGAGCCTACATCCTTCAGCCAGGTAACCTAAGCCATGTGGAAATACGAACTGTTTGCAACCTTCGATACCTTTACAGCGGGCCAAGCTCAGGACCTAAGCCAGCACCATTAATACCTCAAGCAGCAGACGGCAGCCGTTAGTGGGAAAGTAAGAAGTCAAGGAAGTGGGGAGCATTGCCAAAGCACCAAAGAGTATGTGTGCATTAAAGCACCACTCTTGGAAAAGAGATGTTTGCAATAGTTCTGTGCATGCTGGTATGTCCTCATGACAATGTCAATCCAGAAGATCCTGACTTTTGTCCTGAGAGGAGAATTCTGCCTCCCAAGTCTCCAGTGGGATGCTTCCCACTCACTAGTAAGCCTTGTCTCCTGCACAATTATACAGACTCCACCAAGTCAACATGCCCTCAGTGCCTGTGAAAGGCACATCTTTAGGTAGGGCATATGCTCTGCCATCCCAGAAATCCAGGGTTTGGGGAAAGTCTTGAGTCAAATCAGAGGGACTTCACAGCTCTAAGAATCTGACTTTTTGGCCCTTTTAAAAAATCTCACACTAGATCTCACAAAACTGGCAGCATTCACAAGAGTATAAATTAGGACTTCAAAAAGAATCCCTCCAAGAAGCAAACCCAAGCCTTTCATTAAGCCATCCTGCAACAGCAAAAACCAGAAACCAGGACCACATTGCCTCATCTCTAATGTAAAACAAGAAGAGCTTTGGAAACAGCTACGGGCAGGATTTTGCTTCACAGGAGGAAATCCAAGATGGTGGCTGCAAAGTGACAAATTCCTTCTTGTGCTGTTTTATTT